TACATTTCATTTCTCCAGATGCATCGAAGGCAGACAAGCAATCTGCATATTCTCTCCTCCTTGCTGAAAACATCTGCGACAAGCTTGGCATGAAGGTACTTGCTCAAAATATGTCTTTAACAAATCTAGTTCCTACTTCATTTTTTTTATAAAGCTCTTTAGTGTGTATTATTTGAGCCTAGGGTATATCGGAAACAGCCTCTCTACCTTCTCAAGGCGGGGGTAAGGTCTGCGTACACACTACCCTCCCCAGACCCCATTCCAATTTTATCACTATTCATGTATTCTTTTATTCATGGTAAATTGCCAATAACTCTACTGGTTGGTTCATCAACTTTCTGCTGTGCGGAATCAATGATCAATTGCAGGTCCAAAATCTTGTTGCAGAAATTGTCGATTCCAAATTGGGTAAACAGGTAATTTGTTTCTAAAGAAGGTGTAAGCCATGGCTTGTTTCTTCTTCTTAAGTTGTGGACTTTTGATGGCCTTTGTGAATGTTCTGTTCTCCAGATTACAAGAATCAAGCCTTCCCTCACTTACATTGCCGCAGAGGAAGTAATGAGTCTTGTCACTGCGCAAGGTTTCATTTATTTCCTAATAAAGCCAAAGTAAATTCTTCTTAATGAGTTTTTAATTGATTTCTGAATTAGTTCTTCTTTTTTTTGGCACAGTTGCAGAAAATGTTCAATTGAATGAGGTTTGGAAAGATATTTTGAACGCCGATGGAGATGAAATATACGTTAAGGTAATAATTAGCTTCTTCTAATATAGAGGATGTGAAAATGGACATGGAATGTTAGCTTCTAAATAAAGATTATTAAGTCAATTATCTTGAATCCATGAAGTAAATCTTCAGATAAACTTCACTTCGCTGCTGCATATCTAGTTCATGAATGAATTGGCATGTGTTTCCTGAGAGGGAGAATGATTTTAGGATAAGTAGAAGTAAACCAGAATATATGCTGCGAATTCAGCTATCATAAGAAGAGTGAAGTTGATGTGATATTAGATGGGATTGCAGTGCTTAATGTAGATAATTCAGATATTTAGGATCTACATTTCAGGACTATGGTATGTCATATGAAGAGATAACAGATTGAATTAAAATCGAATGATAGAAATGGAGAAGTGCTATTGGAGTTATGCAAAATGAGGATAGCTACCAAAGTGAAATGCAACTTTTATATTGTTGTATAACAATGTTATATGAGAGTAAATGTTGGGCCTATAAGGTTCAATATATTCACAAGATGAGTGTCGCGGAAGTGCAAATCTTAAGATAGATGTGCTATCATACAAGATTATAAATAATGATTTGCCTCTTTTGACTTTTTGACATGAATGATGAGTATGTTCCTTAGAACCTCTACTTAACTTATGTAGTCCGCAAATGTATTTTTCCTCCGAGTGCTGGAAGAATATTGCCTAATTTTATCGTACTAAGTTCTGAAACGGCATGAATTTGTCATAGATTAAACATCTCACTCTATGGACCCTCTTGCAGTCTCGTCTTTTCTTGTGGTGAAATGTAACAGAAACTATTAGAGACTCTTGACTTGTTTTTATTTTTTATTTTATTTTTTATTTTTTAAAACCCCTCCCAAATTAGGAGGATCTATAGTGTTTCCACTTTCCACACTTCCCCTCCAGCGTGACTCGAACCCAAGACCTAACGGTCGTAGGTGGAGGTGCTTTTACCAACTGAGCAAGCCTC